GACAAACTTTTTATCCATCATGCACAGAGAGACGGACATGAATTCAATGTTCCTCCCTTCCTGAGCAGCTGGTGTTCCTCAGTATATTCTTTCATTGGACCAAACGGTGAAGCTACATTATATGGACAAATGTATTTAAACAGCCTCTGTTTTGTCGAATGTATCATGAGGTTATATTCAGATGTAAAAATGTCGATTCTGAACTTTCCATCCACCATCGCTCTGCTGCTCCCGGAGGATCCCTGCAGACACGACCAGCAGCTAAAGAGCCGTAGGGTTGTGACACTCACATGAATGTTAAGAAGTAGCACATCGTCTCATCGTCCAGGATGCCGCTGAGTAGGATCGAACTAACCCGTTGGCTCGTTGCACTTTAAGGAAAGCCAACATCTAACGGATTGTGGCAATTTAGAGGCCTTTATTCATGAATTACTAAATAGCCTCAGAAATTTCCTCTGTTTTCTTTTCACAGTTTTTTAAGATTGGGTAAACTTTGCAGGTTTTGCTCCTCAGTGGGAACCAGAGAAGAGTTATGTTTATAAGAGGATGAATTAAGATTTTAAAATTGCTCCTAACATTTTCCTAATGTTTTAGAGGTATTTAACATAACCTTTTGGCAATTTAATTATGTCTATAAATTGAGATACTGCTTGACAGGTTTAAACCACTTTAGGGCAACCATGAACTCCACAACTCATGTGAAATGTGGATCCGTCCTCGAGCTTCCTTCTAGAAATATTAAAAAATTAAAACTACACATTCATCTAATAAAGATGCACAAAAATTCCAGACTGTTTTACACCTTACCAAGACAAATCAGTGGTGAGCCAGTCAGAAGCTAAAATCTGACTTTCTCACAGTTGTAATGATAAAAAATGAAAAGCTCAGAGCTACAAATCCATTTCAGGTTGTTACTATAAACTAAGCTAATTATCTTCACCAAAATTAGATCCACTCGCACTACAAAACAAAGTGCTAAATGATCGTATTGGACTCAAATATCGAGTAATAATCCTTCCTCCCGGTTCCCCTCTGAGGACAACACTGACACATTGTTCACCCAAAGATTGGTACTGCAGGATTAAGCTCAATGTCTTGTTTGGAACATTTTATTCCTCTTCTTTCCTGTAAATATGATCTGTAAATATGCTTCAAATGTACTATATATAAATATATTTATGCTTTTCTAGCTCACATACTGTTTTTTGCACAGATTGTAAGGCTTGATATTTAAAGGTGTAATTTTCTTATTCCGTCATAGATCAGCTCTTCTTTTCGATACATTGATTGGGAGGAAAAAGCCTGTTTTTTGGAAGCAGTACATGTATATTTCTTTGATATACTGGCATTTTCCCACTGTCTGGAAGCACTTTTTTATTTCTAATCCTTAAATCATGAACCTCTTCCTATTTTCCTAGAATGTAGTCCAAAGCATACAGGTGCTAGTACGTTGTTACGCTTTCTTAAATAAGTTATTTTTCTTTTTTAAAAATAAGAATTATTAAAAATATTTTAAAAAAAATCTGTATACAGCAAACAAAGTGACACATGATTGTGTTGTTCTGTGGGCCCAGATCTCTTGGCAGTCAACCCTCTCCTGAGGTGCTTCAAAAATTATTTTTCAGTCATTTGGTATTTTTAACTACCAAATGACTACAAAAGGAGAAATTTAGATCATAATTTTATACATAATTATCTTTTGTTTTTTTGTCCTGTGGAGGTTTTTGTTGAGAAATCTACCTTTGAAAACATGCTCAGTCCAAAGATTTCTGTTTGTCATCCTGCAGTGCATAGAAACAGCGCCGTAGATTGTGTGTTTATTTTACTGTTGCATATAATGTAAGGGGAACAAAAGTTGGATTCTGTATAAAATACTCTGATCTGGTTGAAATAGAGTAGATGGGTCGTCCAGTTCTGCTGAGGTGGTTTAAATCTTTTACTTTCTGTGAACCTTGCAGCCAGTTGATTTTTATGTGGTGCTTACATTCCTTTTGAGTTGGAGAAGAGGTTTTGTTCATGATTCATCTTATTTTTATGTCAAAACAACAGGCTGGAATTGAGGAAAAATAAATATTAAAAACAGGGAATGTTGCTCTTCTTTTGACGTCGAAGGAGCAAATCTGGAAAACACACAATCATGATGACAGGATGTAAAATACTTTTGGGTTTTGTTTTCTTACCTTGTTTCTTGATGTTAATATTGATGTAAATACAAATTTATATTTAAACATTAAAATGTGTCTGGTGTGATTTTTTTTTTCCACCCCCAAAAACCACAAAATCTTACCAAAAATTTTTGGTCTTGTTCCTACTGCAAATATCTTAGTTCACTTGAAATAAGACAAAGTTAGCTCACAAGTAACTTTTCAGCAATAAAATAACAATACAAGCTTTTTTTTAAGGCAGTGATACTTTAAACAACCTAAGTTGGCATCCTTTTGGTCAGCTGTAAACACTGTACAATGGCTGCTGGAAAAGAGAAGAGCTTTTTTGTTGACTTTCCATCCAGAAGTCACTTGCTGCATTCCTGTTGGTTGTGCAGGAGATTCTGTTTCTGCTTTTCAATGTAGTATGGCTGTATGTATAGCAAAATAATAAATTTGCAGCTATTTTCAAGTGCGAGTCCAGACGTTGAATTTGTGGGCGTGTAGCCAGCACATTTGTCTTTAAAGTAACAAGAGGTCCTAAAGCATTTCATTCTGGAAGGAGCACAAAAAGAGGAAGAAGTGACCAGACTAAAATCTCATCTAAGAATGATTTTGTTCAAAAACGTAGTGAACATGTTTTGTATGCGCCTATCCCAACTTGCTCAAGGAAGCTTAATGTGTCACCTTTAAAACAAGCAAGTTAGTTTTGTCTTATTTAAAGCATACTAAGATATTTGAACTAGAAGCTGGATCAAAAATTGTTGGTGAGATTGTATGGTTTTTACAGTGTAGTCCTCGATGAGCCTGTAACTTTTGTAACCATTTCTTTTAGGAGGCAAAAACTGCAAGAAAAAGGTCATCTTGGCCAGGATTAAAAGGGACCATGAGTGTGTTTAAGTGGATGAGGGGCTATCAACATGTGAAGGGGATGAGAGTGTGAAAAAAGTCTGAGTCATTGTCCATGTTGTTGTCTACAGCCTCACTTTCATCTCCTCATTTCCTGTCCCTCCTACATGTGAGACCCGCTCGCCTTTCTTGTATTTCCCCCCCTTAAAGGATCTAACACTACTCTTCAAGGACTTCTAAAACTCCTAAAAGCCAGACACGATGTTCAGAAGCTGCTGTATTTTTAATTTTTTATAAACACTCTGATAGCTCTACCACTTTTGAAGTAGTTTTCTAAAATACAGACTATCTTTATATCAAAGGCTGACATCTGATACTCATTCACTCAAGCACTGCCCTTGATAAAAGACCAATTTAAACCTTTGTTGTAATTCTATACAGATCAAAAGTGTTAAATTAGTTTGTTGGAGTTTTTGTACTGTAAATCACCCTTCTTCTGTGTTACACATATGCTGTTCAATTCACATAAAAATCAAACAAACCTGTTTGAAATAACAATAAAATTAAAGAAGCTGCAACAGTCTGATTGCATAAATATGCACCACATTAAAGAAAAGCTGTTTGCACCTTATGATTTAATCTAAACATTTAATCGTCTGTGTTTAAAACTTATCCTCAGTTACCAAAAATGTGATGAATTTCTTCTTTTATTTTTGCCATCATACTTTTATTCTGGCTTATATTGTTATTCATAAAAATGTCAGAATATGTGGAGGTAATTACAGATTAGGCTTATGGTAAGGAGGCCTTCCAGCTTTAAACACTTGGAGTTTATCATTCAAAGTAAATCTATACAGAAACATGCAAAAGGCTGTTCAGATGACTCACTGGGAACTTTGTAAGAGTGTTTATTTCAAAGTCTCTAAAGAAGATGCCACATAAAAAAATGTCTAAACTGAAAACACAGAATCCACATTTAAAATCTTGAATGTTTCTCCTGCTAAAGAAATTATTCCTCAGACTCAAAATTTACCTACCTTCGGGTCCATATGTCCAAAAAGTAGGTTTTTGGAGTCACCATGTCTCAGGAATAATGGTCGATTAAAATGTTTATACACATCTTTTTCAGCAATGCCAATTTTCTCTGGTTTCTTCATCTTTTCATTGCATTGAGGATTTGAAATGTGTTTATCTTTGCAAAATATTTCCAGTGCTTCAAAAATACTTCACATAAAAAGTATGGAAATTTGTGTTTGGTTGATTTGTTTGTTCGTCTAATGAAGTTTGTTCACATTTAATCCATCCCATTTTGACTTAAGTTCACATTGACAGAATTGAGACTAATACTGGTTAAGCAATGGAACGGCATCCCACAGCAATGTGTTACCAGAATAGGAAGGTAGACCCAGTTCATTATGGACATTTTTTCTTTTACCTTACGTCATGTTATACTGTTATTCCCTCATCAAGACCATATCTGGAGTATTGCGTGGATTCTGAGGAATCATTGAAATTCTGCTATTAGCATTAGCTCCTTCTTAGACCTGTGGTCTCCAGCCAAGCCTCTTCTCACTCAGCTCCTCCAGACTAGCGGCAGCAGCAATTAGCAAACACCTTTTGGAATGGAGAGTATTCAGAGCTCATTATATGAGCAACTTCTCAGTGCAACGCTGGTAAGAACGACGGTAAATGACATAATGGAGGAACGTTGTTGTGATTTTGTGCTGAAGGTGAAGTGTTGGACAGAGAAGAAGCTTCATAAAGAGACATAAATCCAATTTCAAGTTTCTTTTAAGACATGTTTGATTTTCACAGCATTTTTTTTAACAACTGAAGGAAACATAGTTGTGCTGTAAAATGTCGCTGCCTGGAAAATACAAAATCTACCCCGCTCTTTTAATAAATGAATTGTAGGTCTTGTTATATCAATCATCCTGTACAGAAAATGTCCACACAAAAAAAAAAAATTGACAATGGCAGAAAAAAAAACTGTTGTGCATTTTTTCCTGCAAAAGCAGTCAATAAGTAACGTTACATCACATAAATAATATATATATTCTGCTAAATGCTTATTAAATCAGGTGAGTTGTTGGGTTCATCTAGTGAACATGTATTGTGATAACTCTCTATCGAAGTGTTCAACAGTTCCGTGTTATGGTTTCAGTGGGGTGGGGGTTTCCTTTGTGCGCGTGCAGCGGAGGCAGGGTGGAGCTGAGGGCGGGATGCTCGGACGGGAACAGACGCACCGCCTGTCGATTGGACCAGAAGCGGAGAGAAGGAAAGCGCCGCGAGAGTCCACCGGAGCTTAAAGACTTTGCATGGGATTTATCTATTTATTTTTTCCCCCCCTTTCCTCCAGGACGGGAGGTTTGGAAGCACCTGTCCGCTTGAGCCGCATTTCCCAACAAACTCCGAGCGAAGCTGAAGCATGGACGCGGTTTTACCCTCCTCACCGTTAATATTAATATTATAGGAGGTTCGTGCGAAGTTATCCTTCCTTTCCTCTCGTCTCGCTGCTTAGTTTTGGGTTTTCCACCGAGCTTTATGAGTTCGCCGCAGTTTCTGGGTCAGCTGCTCGGGGTCCCGCTAGAAATAATGCCCCCCACCATGGAAAAGGACACAACTTACACCAAGATCTTCGTCGGCGGGCTTCCCTACCACACCAGCGACGCCTCACTTCGGAAATATTTCGAGACTTTCGGGGACATCGACGAGGCTGTGGTGATCACGGACAAGCAGACGGGGAAATCCAGAGGATACGGCTTTGTGAGTTGATAAAATCTGCTTTCAGCCGGTATAAAAATGACGCGGATTCACTTTGCTGACTGCAAAATGATTTCTTAAATAGTATCTCAGCTCCTGTCAGGGCCTCCTCCACACACACACAAGCACACACACTGCCACTTTGTTTAAGCAACAGCCGCATGCAGCGTGTCAGATGCTGGCGGTCACATGCTGGCGGCATGAGGAGTAGGTTATTGCCTGAAAGTGTGTCATTAATTATCTCCGTCCTCCTGAACTACAAATAAGCTGCAAAAACACTCCGCTTTGTAACAAGCAGCTGCAGCTGTGGGCAGCTGTCTCAGGAGGGAGGAGGGAGTCTTCAGTCTCAGAGGTGTGACATGTCGGTTGGCTGTGCGAGATAAGGCTGCTGTAGTTTCATTATGACTTCCTCCTCGTCCTCCTCCACCCCTCTTCTCTCTCTTTCTGCCAGATGTGGATGTTTGTGAGTTTCTGAAAGTGATTAAAGATGAGAAGCAGTTGTAGGTATTGGACTTTCTCTCGGTTGGGCTAATAATTTGTATCTTAAAGGAGCAGTATTGTGTGAAATGTACTTTTTTGGGAGGCTTTATATCATGCTGAAATGTTATTCCCTCAACTTGGAGTGTTGCTTTTATTTGTTTATGATTGCTTGAGAAAACCCTGAATCTCCTGGAGGTTTCAGCTCCTCCAGACTAGCGGCAGCAGCAGTCAGCAAACACCGGTGGAACTGTTATAGAAACTACTTATCAGTGCAAAAATGTTGTCAAAAGCTAATGGAGGAATATTGGTGGAAAGAGCAGGAGCTTCTTAAAGAGACAGATCTCATTTCAAGTAAAATTTATTTTAAGTCATGTTTGATATATAAAGCATTTTTAAAACAACAAAAGGAAGCATAATTACTTGATTGTGCTGTAAAATGATAGCAAGTGTCAAGCAATTGCATAATAGTGCTCATCTAATAATCATACGGTTGAATTGGGATGTTTGTCTTTGAATCTCATGCTGACTTTATAACTGGATCACAGTAAGTCACGTTTGAAATATAGAGGATTTTTATAACAACTGAAGGTATCATAATTACATGATTGTGCTATAAAATGGAAAACACATAATACTGCCCCAGTGAAATGATCTGAAAAACCAAATGCTGGTATGTTTTTAGTTTCACTGCCCCACTTTGTGGTGGTAGAGTTATCTGCAGCTGTGGTTTACCTTGAATATGAAGAGTAGCAGCTCTGTGGGTGTTTGTTAACCTTCATCGGCTCGCCCAGCTTCCATCTGTTCCCTCCTCAGCTCGCTCCCTCAAGGTAGATTCCAGTATCTCAGTCTCCTACACACCACAGATCAGCCCACGCCGGACCCGACGCCTGGCCTAAAAATGCAGTTTCCTCCTCTCATCAGGCAGAAAGGGGGTCCTGTTTTGCTTTTACACAAAAACCAAAAGAAAGAGAGACGGAATGATTTTCTGAACAGATAAGAGTCCAGCGGTTGTAAAACGTTTTCTATTGGTTGTAACCACAACTTCAGTGTCAACACATATTTACCAACTGATGCAAATGATTCAAACACTTTCACTTTCAATAAAAATCTTTAAAGTGTGGCATGTATTTGTATTCAGCTCATGCTTCATAGAAGCACCTTTAATGTAAGTACAGCTCCAAGTCTTTTACGGATATTTGTGCCTATCTTTCTTTGAAAAATTCCTCAATCTGAGTCATATTAGATTGAAATTGTCTGTGATAATCATTAGGAAGTTCTGCCAAATATTCTCATTAGTATGGACATACTATCTCATTGATGTTGTTTGATCTAAACCATGGATGTCCAATTGTTTTGCACTGTGAACAAAAATAACCTAATTGAAAGCACTTGGTTGGGTCATCCTTTGCTGCAATGTAAATGCAAAATTGTTTAATCGTCAATCTTTGTTTTTTATGATCATCAATCTTCGCTTTTTATGGAACATGCAATATTTTTATGAAACAAAGTAGGAAAGAATCATTTATTGCAGCTTATTTAATTAACAACTGGAGTGAAGGTTTCTAACTTTTTGTTTCATATCTTTTTGGTCTTGAAAATATTTCTTTTAGTCTAATCTCAGCAACAAAAAATAAAAACATTTTCCACTTTGATAATATTAAAAATGAAAGTAAAAAAACATGATTAGTAAAAAAAATAAGACTTTGAAAAATGTATGTATAGAAAGTTTTTATCTGCATAAGCTCCATTTGCACCGATCTAAATATCGGTGCAAATGATGACCAGTATGAGGTCATCATCAATATGATGACCTCATATTGGAAACCCCTGATATAAAATGTATTTGCAGAAAGGTCACAGGCCCCCTTTAGTCTCCAGCATGTGGCTTTAGAGAGTTTCCTGAACAGATATTAATCAGCATTGTTGTTTGCAGGTGACCATGGTGGACAGGGCAGCAGCAGAGCGGGCGTGCAAAGACCCGAACCCCATCATTGACGGCAGGAAGGCCAACGTGAATCTGGCATACCTGGGAGCAAAGCCTCGCAGCTCACAAACAAGTAAGATTACAGCTGAATACGCCTCATTTCAGCTGCTGGTGCAAATATATAACAAGTATCAACGTTTTTTATACAATGATGATCATTTAAAAAACAGACAGTACCCTAATGAAAGCAGGACTGATTTGTGACAGAAGTGTATTGGTAAATTTCAGCTTGTTTAATATATATAAACATATATTTGATCAAGTTAGTTTATTAAATTCATGCTGATTGAGAAATATTTAGGATACATTGGCAAGGATAAGAGATTTAAGCTGATTAATATGAATATTCATCTTCACAATTCCTCTATATAAAAGGGTTCACAAGATCATACAAACAATATTCTTATTTTCACACATAAAAACATAACATTGGTTTTAAAATTGGTTTTTTGCCTCCATATCAACCTGAGAATTTAGACAAAGTTTTGCACCTTTTTTCTCTGGCATAAGATTGTAACATCATGTATGCATTAAAACCCCTCACTGTCCCTTTTATGCTATTATATCGGATCATATTTATTAGCTTCTCTTTGCTTTTGAATACCAAACCTGTACAAGAGTGGTGGCATTTTCATTTATCTGCATAGTTAGAAGAAAGGGAAAATACAGCTATTTTCTGTCGGATGCTGATATTTGTAAATATAAAATATAAAGAAAATATTTTAAAAAAAACCCAGATACTTCTTGACCTAAAGATAAAGAAAAGTAACACGAATTATGATGGAATAATTTAAAGTAAATATTCAATGACAAAAACTACTGAAAACCTGCGTTTGCTGTTATATCTAAAAATAAAAAACATTAGTTGGTTCTTTATCATTTTCAGGGAAAGTTTTTAAGAGTCACTGTGGAAGATTCAAAGGGCCACTTGCATTTCTGGCCCCTCGGTTTGCAGAGTCCGACTGCGGAGGCTGAAATGATGGGAAGATTCTTCTTTTCAAAATAACTAAAGCTTGGTGAGATTGGATGGAGCAAGTATGGCATCGGTTTTCCAGACTTACCACAGATGCTCAGTTGGATTCATGTCTGCACTTTGATTGAGTCATTCTGATATCGTAATGTGCTTTGATCTAAACTCTCCTATTGTCGCTCTGGCTTTGTGTGTGGGTTTCTTGTTCTGCTGGAACCTCCGCCTCAGCCTGAGGTCTTTTGCAGCTTCAAACAGTTTTCTTCCTTCCAGTATTGTCCAATATTTTTCTCAATTCACCTTCTTAACACATCACTTGATCAAATATTTGGCTTTTCTGTATTTTTTCCCCACAGTTTAGAGTGATGTCAGCCCGTCCAGAGCCACCATCTTGTTTGACAAGCATGTTTTAGTCTCTTGGAGTTTGAATTAATGACAGAATATAAGGGTCAGGCTAAGATTTATTTATTTTAATTTGAAGAAAAAGGTCATAATATTACAATAATACAGTTGTAATATCAGAAGAAGAAAGTAGTAATTTTATGAAAACTCCAACACAAAAAAGAGGAATGTTGAGCATCTTGTGAAATTATTCATTGGTATAAGTTTTTAGTACTTTACAGAAATACTTAATCTTTTAACACATAAAATTATTTTCTGTAACAGAGACAATTTTGCAAACAACTCTGTTTCCAAGATTGAATTCCATGAACTGAGCTGTTTACACCAAATCCTGCTACCTTTGTCAAAGCTTTTTTCCTCACTAAAACACATTTTTGTTGTAATTTTGAGATATTTTTCAGTTATAATTGCATCTTTATTGTACTAATATTATGATTATATCGTTGTAAATGAATAAAAAGTCTCATAGTCAGTCCCTAGCACATTGCGGTACAACTCACAGAAGGGATGATTGAGATAAAAGCCACTTTTTCAAAGTATTTTCTGTCATTTGTAATTTCTTTTTTAGAAAAGAAAGCGAGAGGAGAAAACTGGATTAAAATTGGAAATTGAATCTGTGAAAAAAATAATAATAATAATTTTCAAGCCATTTCGCCCATCCCTATTAGAATCTGTGTATATTTAGGTTAGGTGGATAAAACTTGGTAAACCACAGGTATGCTTGTCACTCAGCTGAATATATCAGCTCATCTCCACCCTTACATTTGGTTTTGCGTCAGCTTTCCTGACGCCATTTTTTTCCCCCTCTCCACCACTGCACATGCTGCATGCCTTCCCTCTGAGGTCTGACCTTGAGAACCTCTTTCCTTCGCTGCTTCTTTAAAAAAAAAAAAAAAAAAAAAAATGGCTTGAAAACAGTCAAGCGTAGGTGTGATTGACAAATAGTGTTGCGGAGGCAAAAAAGCATGCAGCTGGGGAGAGGCGCTTGAATTGTGTGGAGGGGGCCCGGCACTGCAACGCAACTCCCCAAGCATGCAGCTGAAGGGAGATGGCAGCGCTTGGTATTTTGTTATTGTGTTTCAGAGAGGCAGACAATGCCTCGAGAAAGAGGGGATGGGACCGTTATGGGAAAGAAATAACAGCATGTCTGTCTTGTCTTTGTCCTCCCAAAGAACGAAAACGTGCGCGTAAGTATATGTTTGAACAAAAGAAATGGTGAAGTCTTACAAGCATGGTAAAGACAAACGGATTAACGGAGGAATGAAGAAAACAAGTTGCAGAGGAGGAGCAGAGGAGGAGGACAACTTTCTCCTTTCTTACTCATCCCCAATTGATTCCTTATAAAGTCTAGAGGCAATAATGTCACAGATGTTTGTCAGAGAATGTTGTGCAACTCCATTTGTGTGACAGTAAATGTTGAGGGTGTAACAGTCTGTGATACCATTATGAGCATGCTAATATCTGAGCGAAACAAACAGAAACACTTCATGGAAGAAAAGCAGGTCTCACTCTGGATATCTGTGCTACCAGAAGCTATAAAACGTCCCCTCTGTCTTTCTCCTTGTCTTCCTGTGCAGCTCTTTCAGCTGGAGTTCACCAAGTCCTTCCTACGTGGGCTCAGAGGCAATATGGGTAAGACACAGAACAATCAATAAGGCTGTTTCCACCTCTCTCTCTCTCTCTCTCTGATTCGTGACATTTGGATCCCAGCATCCTGCTGTGGCTTGGGTTTTGGATACTGTGACCCTGCAGTGCTGGAGAAAATAAACACTCAAAATAAATGATGTCTGTATAAACTCTAAATCGCCTATAGAGGACTGTGTCTATAAATATACTCTTGAACTGGATGCATCCTCTGTCTGCTTCTCTTTCTGGTCCATTAAATGCGTGAGAAGCTCAATTCTGAATTTCACACACGCATTATCTGAGCTTCACTGAAGCTGAGAGGAATTTAGTTAAACTCCCTCCTCTTTTTCCCATCGTACACACACTCCTCTTCAAGTGATGTGCAGTTATTGATATTAAAACTTGTCTTCTGAGGCAGAAAGAAACACAGAAAAGAGGCTTAGACACAGACAACCTCTAAATATCTTTATTCAACAGAAGTAGCATCATACTGCAGGCAGTAATAAGGAAAACATTAAGCTACATATGCTACCATGCTAATATTTACTGTGGCTTTTGTTTTTGAAAATAAAGCACAGTTTTGGTATTAGTTGTGGTTTTGTAGATGTGCTAGCGCTGGACGATATGGTCGAAAAACATATCACAGTATAAGGGTTTCATATCAGCCAATATTGATAATTATTGATTAGTTTTTTATTTGAAATAATTGAAATGCTGCCAAACTGGAGACTTGACCTTTCCTCTTTCAGCCACAGTTTCTTTTCCAGCTATTCTTCTTTGTTGTTTTTGTTTTTAAGCATCTATTAAACTGCTGCTGCACAAGTGACTCAACAAGTTGTAGCTGGGTAACCAAAGAAAGATTGCGTTGCGTGAGTTAGTTGATTAACGTAGCTTTGATGATTTTCTGTATTTTCATTGGTTGGGAGTTATAGAAGGAGGTTTATGGACATATGATCTATGCCATAAAAAAATAAATAATGGTATTAGGATGTGAATTTCATAAAGGGTGCTGCAATCATCTAATTAATAAAAATTCACTTAAAATAAATTTAGACAGAGGATTATTTGAAATTTGTTGAAATTCAGGTGCAAAAGACACAAACAGATGAAAAAAATATGAAACAACAGACTGCAGCAAGGGCAAATTTACTTCTTAACACAGTGTACATGTTCTCTTGATGATAACAGGTTTGTTTTAATGCCAAACATTATTGCACAAAACAAGGGTTGGTTTCATCAGACCAGAAAGCATTCTCCAGTCAGGCTTTCGGAAGATTCAACCATTGGACCCGGATGTTTAAGATTTGAGATTTCTCTTGAGAACTGAATCCTTCTTCAGTGTTGCTGTCAGCCTCTTGGTACCTTCCCTGACCAGTTTCAAGCTCATCTTTTGAATCGTTTTTATGAAATTTCCAGTTTTTCATAACGTTTTAGTCATCCGACACGTTCTCTAATCACTGATTACGCTGTGTCATAGTTCATAAATAATACTGTTGAACTTTTTGTGCTTTTCTCTGGACTAATACCTTTGTACAGATGGCATCCATCAGTTCATTTGTAATCGTAAACATAGTCAGGCTTTATTGTCATTTACCTGCACATTTAAAAAGTGAAATCGTGTTGAAAGGCTCTAATAATATTAAATAAAATACATAAAGTAATAAATAAAAAGCATGACAAATAGCTAAAATAAATAAATAATAATAAGTTTAAATGAAAGTGTCTAATATTTTCAGAAGCCGTCGCAGCTGCATCCAAACACTTGTCATGATGGCAACAGAACCATTATGACAGTCATTGTTTTGACTCAATGTCTGAAGTGATCTTAGATCAGGATACATTTTGATTCTCATCAACTGTTTTCATAGGGTTAGTTGTTCTTTAGTTAATAAAGAAAGATGCTTTCGATACCTGAATATTTTAGTTTTCAATTATTTGAAAAAATATCTCCCTTTCCGGTTTCCCAGAGCCCGACATGCTGCAGCTACAAAAAAGCCCATTAAAAACCAAAACTGTTGCGAGCGCTATTAATATTGCAGCCCTCAATTTGTGAATGAGGGATGAGGGAGCTTAAGCTGACCCAGATGAGCCTATGAATGAGTGATGAGATGAGGTGTGGTAGAAAATCTTCCAGAACGAGGGCAGACATTTGAAACACAGCGGGGGGGGTTTGGTCTTTTAATCTATGCTTCCAGGAAGACTCGCGGTTTGACACCTCGCAGATGGAAACAAAGCAGGCAACAAACATTTCCTGGTACGATAAAACTAACAGACACAGACGTGAGGCAAACGCAGACAAGACACAGAAACACCCCTAGTTCAAGCATTTGGATTCTTTTCCTACAGCGTCTAAATAATTGATCAAATACGTGGATTTGCTTTTAACTTAAAAAAAAAAATTTAAGTTAAGCACAAGTTTTTTTATGTCGAAATAAAGTGAACATTTTGCTTTTAACGTTAATCTTTTAAGCTAATATTTATTATTAAGTAGAGATTTTTGTTTTGATTTAACTTTATTTCTCTAACAGCTGGACAATTGTGTTAAAAACTGAATTGAATAAGTAGATAGACATTTCTACTGCATGAGAGAAAGTCCGATGACATTACTTCCACAGAGTGTGCACCCATGGGCGCCAGATTATGTCGCATCATTCGGAAGCTCTTTTGGAAAAATGCATTGATGAAGCTACAAAGTTGAATGGGTGACAAGCAGAGAAGCGGTAGTATAATTTTGGACTGTCTTTCAGGTGCTTGTGTGTGCTTCCATGTATCTGACATCTTAGCTGTTATGAAGGACGGCGGGGAAATCATGAATGAAAAACAAGTTTTGGCATGTTCAGCTAGCATTAGCAAGAGAGGCAATGATCTGTCTGTGAGATTAGTAACTAGAAGTGGTTTGCTCATTGCTAAAACAATTTTTTATGTAGTGTTCTCATGAAAAAAACATTACTTTTGTGCTTTTTTGATAGAATTAGTAGTTCATGTAGTTCATTTCAGCTCTTCAGGGTTTTCTGGGGTTGTTGTCCCAAAAACAAATCACCAGCTTAGAGGAGGCATCACTCTTACTGTGGCAGCTCTTAAAATGGATAATGACCAACTGTGGCTACATAGCTGTCTGCTACACCCCACAGGATGTTTATGTTAGTTTGTGTTTATTTTAGCTTAGTTTTTAATTGCATGACTGGTTGTATGTCATTTTTAAAGCATTCATTGTTGTAGTTCTGTCATTTTACTTAACGTGTATTAATTTAAAGTGCTTTATAAATAAAGCCAGGGTGGATTGGATTGCATGGTCTTTCTTTCTCAGCTGAGGTTCCTCACCTACGAGTCATCAAGATCTCCAAGTGATCAACACAGAATGTGGAACCTTTTGGTGTATATTTTATTTAATCAAAACACTGTCTGCAGAGAAAAACTATCTATGATTTGGCATCTAGCCCTTAAGTTTAAAGTGAAACACAATTATGTAACGTAAATATCTAGAGATGTGGAGTTGCTGTTGCTTCGGAGTTACGTTGTTGGTCAGAACTGGAGTAAACTTTTTGACGTCTGACCTGAAATAAAGTTACAATTTTTGTAATAAGTGGTCATTCAGGTAGAGTAGTCTCACCACAAAAAACTTTTAAATGCAGTGTGCTGGTTTGATAAGTCTCTAATCACTCTTCATTCACATATTTCTAGATTTCAGACCTAGAAGTGAATATAATTAAGATATAAGCCTGTACACAGTTAAAAAAAAAAAGTAAAGTTGTGAGCAGGATGGTGTATGTCCTTTAAACGGAAATGAGAGTAAGACTATAAGAATCTAAGAATTTGAGAATTTAGTTTCTGTTTCTGTATCTCATCTCATTTGTTAATTGTAATTCGGTTGGGGATTATCCAGACATACTTCTTGAGCTTTATTTTGAAATGATTACTCAACCAAATGTTATCATGTTCATTATTATAGCTCTATTGTTTTTTTTTTTTTTACTGAATCCAAAGTGAAAAACTGATCTTAAAATAGATGCCATTGAATAATTTCAGGAAAATATTTCTGATTCTAGATTTGTTAATTTCTTTTATAATTGATTGCTTATGTATTAGTTAATAAGTTCTGTATTTTTCTTGTTGTTGGTCTTTTCATTTATTTTGATTTGATTGGAGGTGATCAGATTTTCTTCATGTAGCCCAGCAGGATAACTACTTTTTCTTTTCCTCAGCTTCTGTAAAATTGATCAGTGTTGTGAAAGTGAGCGGAGTCCCCATTTAATCAGATAACAGTTCTAATATTTGCATGTTTTCTTTCATTTTAAAACACAAATCTCTGAAATAGACATCCAACAGTTTGTGGTTCACTGTAGTTTATTTATCTGTTGTGAAACAAGAAGTGAGACCAGAGCTTGCGACATTGGTAACCTCAAGAGGTGTTGGTGCTGCACAGCTGCATGAGGTATTGTGCTTTAAAAAAAGAAAAACAATAATTTGTCAATTTAGATTTAATACTGTCACTTTACATGGTGTGTTATAAATGTAGGAAGTCAATGGTTATTTTAGAGCTAAACCGATGGAAGGAGACATGAGCGAATGTTGATGTTTTAAATTCAATTAAGTAGATTTCAACTTTCACTTTGAATTTATGTTTAAATATGGTATGAAAGAATCCTGAAACCTGTGACATAATAAATAAATAAATATCTTTTTGTCCTGCATGTGCAAAGGTCACATCTGTCTGAGCTCAGATGTTTTTGCTCTGAGGCCGTGTTTGTCTTTGACATGATCAGTATGACTGCAGTCAATTCGCAGCTTTTGTTGGCAACATGTTGGGGGTTTTATGAGAGGCAAAAGTAAAAAAAAAAAAAAGAGCTAAAGGTTCAAGCTAAGCAGTGCTGACAACAAAAAAGCAAAACAGTTTTATTGCCAGAATCATCCAATTGACTTACACTATTTTTAGCCTCTGCCTTTAGAGTATAAACTTCTGTAATGTCTGCTTTTCATTTTGGATAAAAGCAGCGATTTTGGGCATT